TTGATTGACAAACAAAACTTTTCTTCTAAATACACCGCCCTAGTAAAGTTACACATCAAAAATATAGAACAAAGTACAAGGTTTAAATTCCGAGATTTTAGATGGACGTATTATCCAATTAATGTGAACCTATTTCCTTTTTTGAAGTTTAGCTAATTATACCTTATTATAATAAGACAATCAGGGCAAGTCCTGCAATTCGGTGCATCCTACATTTGGCTCGGAGCGTAGGGTAGTCACATTAGGGAGTCACCAAACTTACTAACGCGTAATCGTCTTGATGCGATCGTGTTTAACCACACTTGTCGCATTAAGCCGATTCACCGTTGACGCAACCGTTAGCGCGCCGTCGCACCGGTTGTTTCTTCTAAACCAGGATCATCCTTCGTCAGCATGCGTACGGGCGCAATCGGAAATTGCACGAAGCCGATTCGTTGCCGACCTGAGTCGTGTAGCTGAGATGTGAAACGATTACGTTCATGGACATAAAGCTTTTTCTGGCCGGTTTAATGCGATTCTGCATTAATAAGTGTTGCGACTCCTTTATTATTTTAGTTGTCCCTACAGGTTGTTCATCACAGTATCCTCGTGCTATAATGCAGTACTTACTTATTGATGTTTTTATATCAGAATCGAGAATTGGTTTCATTATGCATTGCTGAACAATTCTGAATTTGAGTCACTCTTCGAAATCGCCATAAACACGTCTACTATGTGATAAGTGGAGCGTGTGACAACCCGAGCAATGTGAGTACACTGCGAGATATGCGCATGTACAAGGCGCGCGGCGGGCGTATACACGCAAACAGGTCACGCTGCTGCGTTTGTTTGGAGTTACCCTGCAAGTCTTATTATACTATGATTATATACTCTGGCAATTCTTATAGATAATAAGTAATATTCAGAGTTATTTGTAAAACACTAACAACCTCGCAGGATTATATCACTAATATCAGAAAATACAACTTTTGTTCCATGACTTTTATTAATTCATCAGAACTTTGGTTGCGTAAAAAAATAAGAGTATTTAAATAAATCGCTCTAAATGGTGATACTCTGAGTGAGTCTGTGCGGTAACAATAGTAAGTGCTAGCGTAAAACAAGTCCAATGCAAAATGCAGAGCGGGCTTCGTCGGGGAGGATACTTGCATGTTTGAACTTTTTTTATAATTTGGGAAACAAACAGTTTTTACTTCGTTTACAAGATTATAGTACAAAAAAAAGTTATTACTTAGATCGAACACTCACAAAAAATTCCTTCGATCCGGCCGGATTCGAACTGACGACTTCTCGGTTACCGTGCCTGACGCTATACCAACTAAGCCACGGAACGAACCAGAGAACCTTACGAATTTTTCTATGTGCTTATTGTCGTATCTTTGTATTTAGGTTTTCAACGACTATTTTTAGCCCTAGCGCCTATCTGTGAGAAATATATGAAAGTATTTCGTCACCCAGTTACAGATGTCGCTATTATTCACTGTATTATAAATTTTTATTGAATGGATATGAAATTTTTTTCTGAGTGTTCGATCTTTGTATTAATAATTATTAGGTATATTTGTAAAAAAATCATGGACCAAGTTGTTGTTTATGATGTTAGTAATGTAGTCTTGCGAGGTTGCTAGTATTTTATCACGGTATAGATTTTCATGTTCCGTAGCTTACAATCGTTTATATGCTAGTAGTGTTACAGGAAGTTTTCCTTCTGCAAACGACGAACGGAGGCACACGGCACCTGCATCTAATGCACGAATCTGGTCCGACTATGTCGTCGCCGACTGGTATGGAGAGATGGCCGAACACACACTTTTCAGATGTGCCTGTTTCGTTGTTTGATTTAACCTTCATGAGATCTGAATCTGTAAATAATAATAATTGGTGTAACAAGGTCAAAATGACAATTTGTCTTGTTCAGTAGCAGTGGAAGCAGTAGAGCTTCTTGTGAAAGAGTTATTAACCTATTTTTTGTCGCCAAGCAGTAATTTAAAGCCGTCACTTGATATCATAAAAAAAAACTTTATACACATTACATCCTAGACACCCCTACAAAAATACCATTGATCACGACGTTTTTTCACGCCCTTGTACCTAGTTACACCAGTGTCCCAAACTGGTGTGACACCGATTCTAGCGGAAATAAGACGTAGGTGATGAGGACACCATGTATGAGTTAAAAAGAAAAGAGTACATAGGGCGCACTATATATTTTCGGCACTGGCCAATTCCATAAACAATATTTAAAAGTAATTACAACATTTGAAAATGGAACTCTTTGGCTGTAGAATACAGTTTGTTTCACCTGACTGTCACTTGTTTTTACATTGTGGCGTCATTTTAGAAATTGGTTGTCTACATCACCATGGATTTAACTCGTGAATATTTTCGTAGTATGATTTTTTACGATTTTAAGTGTAGTTAAACAGCTCAGCGGAGCTTCGTTCGGCTTCAAACTGCTTTTGGCGATGAAGCACCATGCAAGACGATTGCCCAAACTAATCATTCTTGGACATAGGAATAACTGTGGAGTATCGAGTAAATTTTTTTTTATGTGATAGATAATAACATTCCTAACGACTGTTATTCTTGTATAATTATTTTTTTGTATGGAGAAATATAAAGTAAAATGTAATGCGTGTGGGTTACTTACAGTACAGTTCCAATCATTTTCTATGTAGAAAAAAATAATTCGTCTCCGACTCGTTCTTCCCGTGTCTTGATATTATAAAAAACCAAACTACTTACAACACTGGAAATCAATAGGGCATCCAATACTTTTCCCGTGGAAAATAGGAGCACATTTCTGCGCGATTTTGTTCTGGTAGTATAATTCGAGGCCGCAGTTGACGTCGCGACAATTTTTCGGATTGTCAATACCTCCGTCCCATTGTGCCCAGCACAGGCATATCTTGCGTCGGTCTAAAGGTTCAAAAGATTCGCCTTCTCGATAAATGATATCGTTTAATTCACAGGTTTTTAAGGATGATAAGGTCCTTGTATCTGCAATAACGTAACTTGTGTATAAATGAACATAATATAACTGTACCCTCCGCTAAAGACGCGTTAAGTCAGAAATATGTATTTTGAGAAAAATGGATTTGAAAAATGTATATTTTTGATTGCTCATAAATTTTTTGTTGTTTGTTTTAATTTTTAAGAAGTCGGTGTTACTTTCTTAGAAAGGTACCAGGAGAAAGGTTTCCTATAAACAACCCTACGCTCCGAGAGAAGTGTGCAACATTTACGCGCCGAACAGGAGTTGCATAAGGGGAGTCACCACACTTATTGACGGAGAATTGCATTAAGCCGGTCAGAGAAAGCTTCATGTCCATGAAAATGAGCGAAAAAGACGTGCGTTTCGCATCGATTCGTACGAACGCGAATCACCACAGGTCGGCAACGAATCGACTTCCTGCGAATTTCCGATCGCGTCCGTACGCATGCCAAAGACGACTGATCCTGGTTTAGAAACAACTAGGGCGACGGCCGCGTTAATGTCGAATCGGCTTAATGCGACAGTATAGTGAAACACGATCGGATCCGCGTTAATAAGTTTGGTGACTCCCATATGTGCTTTTATTATAATACGCCAGCACCCTGCGTGTTATTAGAGACGCTACCCGCTTTCTTAGAATGGGGTCTACGCGCGCCTCAGCGAACATTTCCGACGCGCTACAATGGCGTGGCTTTATGAAATATTATAGTATGTCCAGTGGTACATGCTAGGCGTGATAGACTTAAGGCGCGATACTCTATGTTAAATCATCATATATATCACAATATCCGATATTTTTATCAAAGTTCGATGTCTAAATGAGACTTTACCTTTAAGACAATAGAGCAATTATTCCAACACAAACAATGCTCCAGTCTATATTCAATCGAACTTATAACTACTATTGTCTTTTGATCTAAGGCTCAACTCACACTGGCGCAGAGTCGAAGCGTCGTGACGCGTCATGTTTTTCGCCTACAGTATATTCATCTCTATTTTGCCATTATTAAGTACGAATTTGTGTTATGCAAATATGGAAACGGGCGTCTCCGCTTATATGCAGTCGAGCGGCTTCGCGCGTCAATTGAGTCACTCTGTGATACGGGCACACTAAAGCGAGCATCGTCGCGCCTAAAGTCGCCAAGCGTTGTTAAAAAATGATTTGTTGTTCTTTCCACCTTAACAAAACATTTCACAGGGTAATTAAAGTAAAGAACATCGTACAGTGAAATTGCGAGGTGGAAGACTGGTGCCTAAACTAGGTTGGACCTGTACTTATAGGTCACCAGGTATCCACCACCGGATCTCAATAATACAGTTTTATTTATAGTTGTAGTTGAAAACCAGTACGCGACGCGACGCTTTGACTCTGCGCCAGTGTGAGTCGAGTCTAAGGCTCTACAAATCGCATCCATAAAACAGAAAAGGAAACATTACGTCTTGTAAGACCGAATTAAAAATAAACAATGGACCTACCTATACCTACCTATTCAGTAGGTATTAGGTACAATACAAGTTGCATGCATACAACGAGTAATATTTTCGCACTGAGATGACTTCCCATCGAGCGAAGTATATCTAATTGCACCGTAAATGATCATAATGATATTTGACAACTCGCTTCACTAGCAATTGGCCACAGATAACCACCCAAGTCAATATGGAATTTGTGGTGGTTTTGCGTCAACTCAACATGCTTACTACTCTACTTAACGATCATAGTTTCATTTCTCAAGCCTTTGGGTTCCCATATAGAGGTAGGCAGAGCTTTAAGTGACACAGCGCAACTAAATCCACATTTGGCAAATGTTTAGGTTAAGATTTTATACAATTGTAACTTAGTGCACCATAGTGACAGGTTGCCAGTCTGTTGCCTACATATAGGACACTATTAAGCTCAATTCCTCAGTCGACTTTTACAACTTGCGCGGGATGATAAGCAGCTGATACCTTTTATATTTTTCTTTTGGTTCCAGATCAGTATGGAACTGTATAAAGATCGCAAAAATCTACAAGAAACTGTCAAATTATTCGATATTTGTTACTAAATCGTATCTACTGAATCTCATTGCATTTGAATTTCACTTCGTTTGTATGGAGCTCTTTAGCAAGACTGTCTGTCTGTCTTCTTAACCGCTCACGCGATGCGCTCATCCTACCGCAAAATGGCGGCTATTTGATTTCGCAAATTAGAAATGGATTCAATTTAAATACAAGTTTTTATAAATAAAAATTATTATTTTGCATTGCTAAATACATACCCTCCGCACTACCAATAAAAACATCTCAAATAAAATGCAGTAATACACCGCAAATCCTGCATTTAAAAAGCACGAATGAAATTTTTGGTGTACTTGGGTAAATATGATAATAATCCGTTTGAGTGGTTCTAACGTTTATCATGAAATTACACCTTAAAGTATAGTTTATAAACATTTAAATTCAGGGTAATCTTAAAAAACGTTACTTACGGTATGTTTTCAATAAATAAACACTGAAATAGCAATTTATTAAGTTTATTTTTTTTAAATGACAGATCCAGGCATTAAAAACTTTATGGTTTGCTAGAGTAATTACCGAAATAGCAATTAGTATTAGTTCTTTTACCTGTTATAACTTCGATACCCGATAAATCGGTATAAAATCATCACCGGCACCTCTAGGTGTGGTATGCGTCTACAGCTGCATGTATCGCGTGAGCGGTTAAAAAATTACGATCCTTACCACAGATAGAGCTAGCAGCGCAACAGGCGTCCAACGAATCGTAAGTAAGGATGCAATCTTTGTTGTCGAAACCCGGCAAGTAGGGACAATCGACAGTGGCACATTCGAAGTGGGGCAACTCGTTGTAGTTCCTCAGACACTTGCACGATCGGGAACACGGGTTTTTGATCTCTGATTGTAGAATTGTTGCACCGACGTCGTAGGCTACCCCCCTGGAACACGACGTAAGTGTTTCGTGAAAAACTTGTTGATTTTATTTGGATACGGTGGACCGCAATCAGAGTCAGAGTTTTAATTTTTTTGTTTATTTATTTATTCGCGGAAAACCAACAGCTTAACAACAAATTAAAAACATCAACAAATACATTACAGCCAATTAAAGGTTTTCGCTTATAATAACATAATGACTAAACAATGAGCACTTAGAAAGTGCTCACAGCAAATAAAATTATTATGTAACAAATACACTTAATATATACATATATGCACACATACACACATATATATATGTACATATATACACATACGCATGTATATACGCAATGTACATCACATATATCCCAATACCTGCACCACGAAATGATCGTCCATTAAACAAACGCGCCCACAAGTTTACGCTTTAATAAGTTCGAATTAGAATTGAATATGTCAATATTAAGTTCACTCCTGCTCAACACATCGTTCAAACTCTTGCAAGCCCTATAAAGAAAACTGTTTTGTCTATATTTAGTCCTCGCTAGCGGAACTGCAACAGGACGGTGGTATCTCATGAACGCGTAGGTTATTTATTATTATTTTATTATATTAAACGCAATACTACTCAGTAATTCGGGACAGTCGACATCACCGTTTTGATGTTTAACAAATACACTAAATCAGCAATATTCCGGCGAGTAATAAAAGGCAATATGTGTTGATCCTTACAAAGACGTAGATATTCGATTGAATTAAAAGACTTGCCCATTTTATAACACAAGATTTTCATAATTTTTTCCTGAACTCGTTCAACTCTGTCACATAAATTTGATAACATGCATTCCAAATTTGGGAGGCATATTCCAATTTACTACGGACATACGCAGAATACAATATTCGGAGAGTTTTAGGTCTTAAGAAACTGACTGAATTCCATATTATGAATCCAAGTGACTTAATAGCTTGAGAAACAATAGCATCTATATGAGTATCAAAAATTACCTTAGAATCATGAATGACCACTAGATCTTTCTTTGTTAACATATCTTACCTGCATTTATACAGTGTCCAATTAAGGACGCCTTTAAATTAGACGCTTGAAGAAGCGCTGCGGTGGCACGATTGTAGCGTGGCAGCCGCGCGTCTATATTGCAATTTTTGTTCACTAATGGTGACTGCAAAATTGGGGAGGTTAGATGGGGATTTCTGGGTAGACTACGGGCTCCCCGGTAAGGCCAGGATACGGCGGGCGTCTGGGCCAAGCCCTCCGCCAATTACTCGCCTTTACGGGCGGACCCGGACATGGGTATGGACTCGCCGGGGTTTGATTTAGCTGAAAGGACACGTTGGTCTGCCTGGTAGCAAGTGTCCGGGTCGTTCTTCCCGCGCGCAGCTAGCGCGTCTTAGTTGCGGTCTAGACGAGAGACTTAGGAGCCGCGCGGGACATTGGAATTGCCTCTGAATTTGGACGCTGTGTTCGGACATTGTCACACGACACTTCGACCGACATCTCCAGCACTAGTCTGGAGAACTAGTAAAGGATGGGCTACAAATCTACCGGTTTCTCCAGTCACATAGGCCCATTAGTTGTGCAAAGCACAAAGGACGTATAGGGACGGTACTGTATGTGCACGCGGGGCACTCACCCAAGGTACTAGCTGTTTGAGAACCGGATGAAGTCTGTGTGGGGTTGGACTTAACTGATATTGTCCCTGTGCAGGAGTGCTTGGCACAGGCTCGGTAGGAAGGGTCAGTATACACAAAACTTATCAATGTACGGGAATATATGAGAATTAGTAGTGCACAGCAGCGCTTCCGTAAGCGTCTAATTTGTAGGCGACCTAAAAATTATCTGAACGTACAGTTCGATGCACTTTTGTTTCGAAATGTTTTACGCTTATTTGTTACAACTAGTAGGGAAACAAACCGACGTTTCGGGCCCTTTACAGGTCGCATGGTCACGGTTGACAGTTAACAACATATTTGTTTGAAAAAACAAATGTACGCGATTTAGATCCGGAAAAATAGTTTCTTTTCCTATATTAAACCATACACAAAAAAAATCCTCAAACTAATACACATAACTTCCTTCTACAAAGATTTTTTTAAAATTGATTAAAAACTACTATTACCTCACTAGGTTATCTCGTAACCTGTAGCATGCGTATACGCAAGTAAACATAAAAAATTGTATCACAAATATTGTGTCATGGCTATTCTGGTTCAGATTCATCGTGATATCTGCGTTTTAAAAATATCTTGTGTACTTATGCTTTTAAAAGTACCTATAAATAACGAAGATAACTGTCAGGAACACAAACGCCTGCCAAATGATTTTAAAAATGTTTTCTACTAATTTGGCACACATATAGATTTTCTGTTAGTGCTATAAAGGGGAAAGCAAGGCCAATAAAAAGATGAATGGTTTGTATGACAGAATATAGGTGTATGAAGGATATGAACAACAAGAAAAGAGCTGAAGAGAAAAAGAGAGATTTAGTGGGACAAGATTAAGAGCATGACACCTATTAATGACATACAGCGTTTTAAGGACTACGTACCATTTTATATATGCACAGTGTATAACAAGAAGGGCATCAATACACATACATATATACTTCACGCCTTTTTCCCATCGCGGTAGGCAGAGACAACAGTCTTTCACTTGCTACGGTCCTGACACACATCTTTCGCCTCATCAACACGCATCAATGCTTTCATACACGCTCGTCGGTTAAGGGCACTCTTGACCTGGCCCTTCTTTAGGATGGCCTCAATGTGGTCATGATAAGTTCTCCTTGGTCGGCTCATACCAACTTTCCCGTTCACACTCGCCTTATAAATCTATTTCGTCACTCTTCTTTCATTAATTCTCTCTACATGTCCGAACCATCTAAGCATCTCTTTCTCTATCTTTGTCACTATATTTTCTTCCACGCCGCAACGCTCTCTTATCACACTGTTCCTCATCGTGTAATTTATGTATCCGAGTCACTCCAGCCATACGAGGAGTATCGGAGAGTAAAGCTCTCATTTCTACTGCATTAATTCTACTTTCATGCTTCTTCTGCCAAACCCAACATTCACTACCTTACATAAGTGTAGGCATCAGCACCCCCCCATGCACAGCCAATCGTGCCTTTTTAGACATTTTCTGGATGCCCATGAAGGTATGCAAGGCACCATTCACCTGATTCCCTGCGTTCACTCTTCTTTCAATGTCTCTTTCACATTTTCCATCACACGTAAACATAGAACCCAAATACACAAACTCTTTCACTTGATCCACTTTCTCTCCTTCAATCAATATCGTGCAAATCGTCATATCTTCCTCTCTTTCAAAAACCATTACCTTTGTCTTTCCCACATTAATTTTCATTCATTTCCTTTTAAGAGCACCATGTATAATATTTACCATCTCGTGCAACTCCTCCACTGACGACGCTGGTCATCGGCGTATAGGAGGCACTTAATGAGTAAACCATTCATTCTCAGCCCATACGTACTCTCTTTCAAAACTTTCAAACAATTGTCCATAATAGGTTGAACAGCCATGGCGACGCTACACATCCCTGTCTAACACTTTTCCCGATATCGAACCAGTCAGTGTAAGCACCATTTATTCTGACACAGGCACTGGAATCCTCATAGAGAGATTTCAGTGCCTGAACTAGACCGCCGTCCACCCCATACATAGGCATATCAATATGAGTGTAATATATTTTATCCTTGTTGTAGATCGCCCGCGAGCAATTTCAGGTCTAAAACTGTGAAAATCTCGGACTAAAATGTATAAAAGTTCATTATCTTTGTAATAGCTAGTTATCAAAGGATTGTATTAAGTAATTAGAATAATTATTGTATATGTGTATTGGAATGTAATAAGAATTGGAATTTACCTAACTGAAACGTTTTGTCATTCGACGCCATCCACATGCAGAAGACCTTAATATAATAATAGATTAGTATGTTTTAGAATTTACTCTCGTGATGTCCCATCATCACTTCTTTTGTTTAGAAACACATGTTGTTTATACGTAGGGTCGGTGCCCTCACTTAGGTATCCACTATTTGTACTACGGTACCGGCGCGCTATGATGGCCGTTTTGACAGATTACAATAGCTGACAATAGTGAGTCGAATCTCAATTCATTATCGAAAAAAATATAATCAAAAGCGAGCCGCATCTATAAATTTTTATATTTATAACTAGTATTGCAAGCAATTGATTAAAAAGTTTTAATAAAACGAAGATAAAAATATTTACTTAATATTTGAAACTGTTTTGTTTTGCATTGAGCTTTGACGCGAGTTTGCCGGAGGTAGAAGTTGTGCTGGACAGCGATCCTATAAGTGACGATTGTATTAGATTTCATTTTTTTTTATTTCGAATTTCGAAAAACAAATGCCGAGTTGTGTCGTAAAATTATACATCCATAAGTTTTACTGCACGTCACTATATCTGTGGTCACTATTGACAAGAATGTACAGTCAACAGCATATAAAGCTATACACTTTTGTTTGAATATCGCATCCAGTGCAATGGAATAAGATCCGGTAATGTGTAACTTGATGTGTTGTCGTTTGTACATCATGTCGTCGTAAAATACAAAAATACACGTCAAAACGGCCATCATAGCGTGCCGGTACTATAAGTGCTATAGAAATAGTGGATACCTAAGTGAGGGCACTTATGTACCTAAGCGCCTAATATACTGCCTCCGTGGTCGAACGGTTACCACAATGAACTGCCACCCAGAGATCGACAGTCGAGTAGTCGACGATCGCTTCGCTTTTTTTCAAACGCACACACTCACAGCCCAGTACTAGGGAAACCCTATATCGCGAGTGCCATGGACACACACATAGGTAGACAACCACAAATTACACCTAAACTCGCGCAGAAGTAAATGTAGGCCATATAAATATTTTTCCCGATCCGGAATTCAAACCCGGGACCTCTGCGTGGCAATCTAGTATGGTAACCGTTCGGTCACGGAGGCAGTTATAGAAATAATTCTGAATTAGGTAAAAACATTACAATTTTGATGTACCTTCTACTTAAATGTTAAATGTTTGTACGCGAAACATTTATGTGTAAAGTTAATGGTTTCCCAGGTCTAGTAAGTTATCTACTTATTCATTTCTGTATAAGCTCCCGGATGCGTTTTGCAATTGCTTTACTACACAACAATTCCTAATATAATTTGCAATAGTGTGTTACTGAGTAGTCACACACTATTGCTTTAAAGTGTACATGCACTGGCATGTATACTTTAAAACTTGACTAATACGCTAATACTATCCTGATATTTCTTAGTTAGAGGTTATTGACACCGGTCAGTTGATCCCATCGAGTATATAACTAGAAATAGTGACGAAATAAGGGCTATCCGTCCCTGGTAAGTCATCAGGTAATAGGCCTTATATCACTTTTAATATCAACTCTCGTTTGCGCTGAAATCACAAATTAGAAAGCTGAAATAGTACAGCGCCAACAAATGACCTGTGTTTATGTCTCGGTATATTCCAAAAATATTCTGTATTTATTGTAATAAAGATAATATCTCTAACTATGGGCGTTGTTCCATTCGGTGATGTGGGAAAAACAGGAAAACTTCTGATTACAAAACCTACGGAATCACATTTCATCGATAATTGAATACGTAATTTTTCAATTTTCGTCCATTATAGCAAAACTCAAGTTAAACTGGTGGATTTGAAGTGAAACAAATGACAACACCCGTCAATTGTTTCGGATTCGGGTTGGCCAATCGGAGCGCAGTTGTCACCGTAATGATTTGGCAGAATAGTTTTCAAACAAATTAAATGACTTTTAGTCTCTATTTATGAATGTATACGCGATGGTTGATCCGTAGCTAAAAATGCTGGATTTAATTTTGAAGCATTGTTATTGACTATACCGTGAAGTTACTAAAAGTAATGCTGCCGCCGTTTTAATCGAAAGGGCGCTTGTGACATTAAAAAAGAAATGTTATACCGCCATGATGAGGAAAAAAATGCTGGTTTGTCACTATTTAATTCTAAAAATAAAGTTACCACTACAAAAGTTTTTTTTTTTCATTTCTTTAAACCACAGACCTCTTTTCTTTCTTTCGTGCTTTAAACATTGTTTTCTCGGTTTTGACTTTTTGTCACAAGCGCCCCTTCAGTTAACGATGGCAGAATGATAAAAGATAGTTTGTACAATTGGCTCACTTGGTATTGACATATCCTTTCTGTTACACCTGTATGTTATAGTATGATGATAATAAAATTATTTTCATTTCGTTAGCTATCTTTGCCAACGCCATGAACTAATTAAATTAATTAGTCACTAATCATTCAAATATATTTTAAATAATGTATTTTTTCATTTGTATAAAACCAATAATTATGATTGGAAACTCACAATTCATAATTAAAATAGAAATAAACTATAATTTGGATATGTTTACGCGATGCAAATGTTTTGTATGAGAACAGGGACAGATTCTTTATTCTATTCTAGAGAATTAAAAATCTACTGACCTATAGTAACATTTTTGAGAATCGGAATAAAATGCGGGACAGGTGAAGACTCTTGGACATCCCGTTCTGTTACCATACATGTAGTCCGGACTACAGCCGAGTTCTATATAAAACCCGACCATGTCACACATCATATTTAAGTTGCCTAGGGTGGTACACACCACTGAAAAATTTGACAAGAATGCGTTAATTAATAATAAAATTATTGGTTTTCGTGAAAAGTAAAATAATATACACATATAAACGAATACAAAGGGCCCGTTATACGATTAAACAATTAACATGTACTACGTAAATAGGTATCTAAGTAAAGACTAAAAGAAAAAAATATTGTGCCTGCCGAGAACCCTAAAATAGTGAAATCTATATAACATAGCCATACTCATACGGTGCTACAGTTTGTGCATGTTGCATTTTAGGAAGCTTTCTTTTAAGGAGAAGGCAAATAACTCTCCTAAAGAGAAACCTTAACCCCTTAACGCACCAGGACACGATAATCCATGAAAATAAAGGTAGAAAATGTCTACCATATGACTTTTTAATCCCGGTTCGAAATTTTTCCAGGGATTAAAGTTTCATTCAAGGCCCTAATTTTGGAAAAAAATGGTAGTTCGGATTAGGAAAACACAAAATTTCGAAAGATTTTCAACCTACGCTCTTTATATGATATTCGTCATTTCAAAAGAAAGGGGGCGACTGCGGCGTTTATCCCCGGTAGTTCCATGTACTCAGTTCCACATGGAACAATTGAAACTCAAAAGTTCCATTGCGATTGCTTATGGTAGGCACGTGTTACTCATCAGCGGCGGATCCGAACCGGCCGCCACGGGCGAGCACAGGCGCGCTCGGACGGCCCTCTTCCCACGGGGTGCGAAACAGGCCACGGGCCTTGGGAAATCGCCTTAAAAGAGCCACCAAACCTCATTAACACGGAATCGTTTAATCCGGTTAGAAAATGCTTAACGTCAATACAATAAGAACGAAAAAGACAACGCACAGCTGTCGACAGACTTTTTGAATAACTTTGCAACGTCATATCTCAATATTTTAAATGCTCAGTGTTACTAAATGACAAAACAACACGTTCATTTTTTCGCCAATATCTCAGCATTTAAATGGTGACTACCTAATTTATGATACCAAAAAAAGTGATCCTGTATATTTTTATGTTCTATTATATTAAAGGTTTTTAGTTAGCATATTATTTCCTTTATTCAATATCGTGTAGATACACATTAGATATCTATGTGTTATTTAGTACACTAGTAAAATAAGAGATATAAAAAAATAAATATAATAAGATAAAATCAGTTAATAATAATAATATTACATTGTGTTAAAAGGGCGAACATTCAAACAAAAAATAAACCTTTACCACCTAAGAACTTACAGTGACGTGTTTACTGTGACAGTTGCCGCTAGCGACCGCGTAGATTACTTCGTAATTTTGTATAGCAAATTAAATAGCGCCACTAGCGGTCACAAGAAGAAACAACATTATGTATACCGTAGACCACATAAATACTGTATACAAACATTTTACGCAGTCGCTAGCGATAACTGTCACTGTAATCTCACGGTAGAGGCACCGGATAGCTAATAAACTACATATCGCAATTTAACAAAATGGATAAAAAAAATTATGAAATGTTTTAAAAGAATGTTTACTTAACACCACAACGGTGATCACTGCCTTCATGTCTTTTATTGTTAATTTTAAAACTTTATAATTATCTTAATAATTTAATTCTTTTATAAATAATTCTTTTAATTATTGCCAACCCAATGCCAATTAAAACACAAAGCCCAACGTCAATCCTGGCTGGTAGTTAGATTAAAAATGACAAAAGGTACCTAATGGTTTTGTTGAAGTATGCAACTTTGAATAAGACAATGTTTCCAATCGGTCACTCATTTTAAATCGTTTTCATAACATTTGCCGTTTACACTTGACTGTTTAAGACATAGTCTGTGAATAGGTTTTTACCTAAGCCGCGGGCTAAGCTATGCATAATGTAGCCGATTTTTATTCAAATTTAAACGTTTATAACAGGCTCTGAAGTAAGGATGAAGCGTTGCGTTTTGCGACTTTATACCTATCAATGTGTAAGTAATATTCTACATCACGTGACGATTGTTTTTACTACCGAAAATAATTATAAGCTTCATCATTATGAGTACGTAGCAGTAGACAGCCTTAAGAAAAAGTTGGTTTTTTTAATAATATCAAGTGACGGGACGAACAAGTCGTGCGCCTGATGGTAGGCTGCACGCCTGTCCATAACAGTTGCAGTACTACTCAGAGCTTTAATTCGCAAAGATCCGAGAGGCACTGCCACTGCGCCCGTCACCGTGAGACATAAGGTGACAAGCCTCATATGCCTGTAATTTCACCAGCACCCCCTTACCCTTCAAAACCAGAACACAGTAATGCTGACTTTACTGCTTGGCGTTAGAAATAGGTCAGGTGGCAGTACTACTCTGTATGAACTCTTTAGTTAGCATTACTGTGTTCTGGTTTTAAAGAGCAAGGGTGCTGGTGAAATTACAGGCACATGGGACTTGTCAACAAGTATCATGGTGACGGGTGCATTGGCAGTGATTTTCAGGTCTTTATACTTATCTACTCTGTTGTAGAATTTTCCAACAAATAAATTAGTATTGTATATTTTGAGCAGGGCTACTGCGAATATCTGTATGAATTAAAACATCTGCATCCACATCAGCAACCGCATTGATTGATGCTGATATTCATTGCGGATGTTAGAGTCGTGACGTGAATTAAATGGTAGGCAGGAATATTAGTCCTTTGCGTCTGTTTGTCTATAAATCATTATAAACCTTCCAGAATTAGACTGAACGCCGAAAAAGCAGCTCAACTGTGTTGTTTTTGAAATAATAACTGATAAAATTCTACTACGATTAAGCTAGACAGATTGATTATTTTATAAACAAATGTCATAAAATCATTGAAACAATATTTTATTACAATGCCAAAGTAAAATAGAATTTTCATGTGAACAGATTCGGTATGGATGTATATTTCACTTTTTTTTAAATAGACAAAATCAGCATCCGCTGATGTGTAAGAAACCTGCGTCAGCAACAACCGTGATCTTGAGTTGTGGATTGAACTGTAAGTAATTTAGTGTTCATTTTCTTGACTAACAAATTTTTTCTCAGAAACTAGATTCGTTTGGGAGTTCGCTTAATTTTCTCTGTAAAATACATTTATCATTCTGAATTTTTTCAGATTTATTATTTATATTTGTCGTCTCGCTGAAATTAATCCGATAAGATTTTCAGTGACCTCATTGGTACAATATATAGGATGATCGTTTAGTGACTCACGAAAGTGTTAAAAAATATTTAACACTTCAATTGCAACTAATTGTCTTTAATTAAATTTAATACTGATGTTAAAATTAAATACTAGATACATTATTTCTGGGTTCAAGAAACAGCTACACAGCCTGTAATTATCACAGATGGCAGCTCTTGCCGCAAATTCCGAACGGCGCGGCGGCGGCGGCGCATACAGCGAAGCGTCGTTAGGGTCGTTAGGAACGCGTACACGCTGCGCCACTGGGATGTGTTGGTAACAGCCTTTACAGTGTACGTTTGAAAGTCCATAAGTGGAAGGTCGGGGCATTGTAGTAAGCGTGCATGCTGGTTCACTTATCGTATTTAATCCGTTAAGGCGTTTTCGATAACGCGTTTGAACGTTACTTATTTAATCTGTAAAAAGCATTTGACCTTAACATTTAGCTGTCTTTACCAACTGACGTTGAAAAGAACAGTTATTATCACAAAAATCTGAAAGATATAAATAAAACAATGAGTTTATCGTTCGTCCATGCGATAAGTTCTTGAGCGGCCCACTCTGAATGGTCAATGCATTAAACGCCCCGCTTCTCTAGCGAAAACTAGTTGCGTGCATACTGCTAGTGACAGCCTAGCCTACGAGACGCTCAATGTGAACCTTGAACGCCGAACACCACGCAGCGCCCCACGTGCAAGTAACGCATATCTCCGTGATGGCTACCTCCTCATCTATTGCGAGAGTAGGTGTAAAATATATTTATGTCTGAATTTCTTCAGATTTGTGACAATGGTATATTTCGTGCGGTTCTGCCATTATCAAATATCAATCTAGAAACAAGTCAATCTCGAATCTAATCGTATTAGGAAAATATTAATATATCAAAATATAAAATATAGAATTGATTGACGTACGGCACCTGCGTCCTGCTTTTGATTCAAATAGGAATCGATTCGATCGGGTAGTCTCTAAATCAGATGGGTCCCTGAGCGAGAAGATGAACTACTATACTATACTATATATTTCTAATTTGTAAGTTAAATATAAATTATTCCGATTACAAATGTCAAAGTTTCCGATCGGCCACTTGTGAATCGCAATTATGAGCCTCGACTCGGAAAAGACGCAGTTTCCGATCGGGAGAGGCAATCAAAATCAAGCTGCTGTAGCTGTGCCTCTACCATGAGATTACAGTGACAGTTCTCACTAGCGACCGCGTAAAGTATTTCGTATACAAAATGTTGTTTCTTCGTCTAACCGCTAGGGGCGCTGTATAATTTGTCATACAAAATTGTGGAGTAATTTACGCGGTCGCTAGCGACAACTGTCACAGTAATCTCATGGTAGAGGTACTGCAAACAAGTGGATCAGTTTTACATTGCAATATAATTACAAAAACTCCGATTATGTACTTAATACTTTATTAAAGTAACATTTGGATATACCTTTAAAATAACATAATTTGGTAAAGAAACTTAAAAATCATCACTACAATAAGTAGTTTAGCATACTGAATAATGTTTTAACAAAGACTGAAGACCACATTATAACTTAAAATCAATTGATATGGTTTCGCTTTTTTTTCATATTCCACTGAGTTTCGTCGCTTATTGTGTATTCGATATATAATCAAAATGTACCTACTCGTATTAAAGTTCATGTATCATGAAATTTAGTATGTCATTTTCTAGAGTAACAGACTTTTTCTCAGAAACTATATTCGTTTGAAAGTTCGTTTAATTTCCCCTGTAAAATATATTTATCAGTCTGAATTTCTTCAGATGTATTCATTCATTATTATACCCTAAAATGGTAGTAAACATGAATGGGACATGAAGGGAAACTATCTTATATGCTAATTTTACTTAACGGAAACATTCTCTTCAATTTCTTAATATGAATAACTGCAGTCATAGATTTTTTGAAATGCTACCTAAGCCAGGAATCGAACCAACTAAAAATATAAAAAATTAACACTCTCTGTTTATAGCTATCTTAAGCATTTCAGGTAGTTTTCCTTTATCCATTTTTTCCACCCTGCATGGCACATTAAAGATCTTTTGCACCGTCTGTTTAAAGGTAAAAGAGACGTTTTCCACAAAAAGTCTTTATATAACTATGGTAAGAAAACCATTATCTTTCTGCACGTGAAACTCAATAACAAAGAAGCTATAAAATTAATAAGAGTTTTATCTGTAGAAAAATGGTGAATTTCTAACAACTGGTACATAATTTGGATCTTATTGTGGAAAATGTCACTTTGTGGTTTTCACCTTTAAGCAAACGATATGATACCCCAGATAAGGTACCACATTCGATCTAGTTGCTCCACTTTCAATAACTCCATTTTTATATTAGATTCTTGTTTAAACATACACCTATGGTACTGATAAATGCAAGTAATAAAATTGCACAAATGTACCAATTTTGAAGGTGATAGCAACAATAATTTTTTCACTTCTCATCCTGTAAAAGTATGTCAATATAGCGTTTTGTAGAGGGAGTAAGAAGCTCATATTTTTTTTGTTTTTTTTTATTTTCCGCAATGACAGTGGCGCCATATTATTTTCCCGCGTTAGTGCGTTTGTTGTGTCTAAAAAAAAAAATACCGCGAAAACTCCAGAATTTTGGTTCGAAATTTTGTTGTAGAGCGAAAACCATAAAACGATTGAAATATTTTTTTTTCTCGCAAACGAAGAGAAAGGTAAAGTTTTTACTTAGATACTAAAAGCAAATATAAACTGTCCAAGTAATAGACAATAAATTAATTATGTATACAAGTGACAGATTGAACGAGATAAATATTTAAAGAGGCGAATAAGTAGCTGATACCCATACTGAACATGTAAAAAACACTGCCTTATTTTTAAATTTTTCTTTAAGGAGAATATTGCCTCTAACATTTTGTAAAACTCTACGCGAGGTTCCGCGTCAGTCGATCATCTAGCGAGTGTCCTGCAAGGTCAAATCGAACACTTAGGGCGCGTCCCCATTATGTCGTAAGGTTTTATTTATATATATAAAATAAAGTTTTGGGTATATCCAATGTTATTAGAAAGAATTCCATTAGGATTATGTCAAACGTTTATAGATGAACTGAAAAGTGATGAGAGAAAATTTTGCTATTCAAGAATGTAATATTTTCTAATAATATTTATAAATAATTTTAAACAAAACTCGATTCACAACAAATATTTAGTTGTAAATAGTTTTTGTCCTCGATTTCGAGCATTAATGGGTTTTAACCCGATTTAAACCCGACATTAACAAAGTTAAACCCCGTAGGGAACAGAACACGTGCACACTACTAAATAAAACGTGACGACAATAGTAGATGCGACTGTCTGTCGTCACATTTTTATCGTGACGTTTTATTTATCGTCAGACGACTGTCGATCTAACTCTTCCCATTGTCACGACAGTCTGTCATCGTAACGACAAAAAATCGTAAACGACAGTTAATCGTGTCGTTCTATATGTGCACAACTTAGAACGGTTTCATAGAGTATCCCAAATGAAGAGTGTTTTTTTTCGATATTTTTCATATGTTTAGGGGTGATTTTTTAAATATTTATCTCGTTCAACCTGCCATCCTGCATAACAGCTGCGATATAACGATCAAGGAAGTCTCATTAAAATATAAATATTAAACAACGTCACATACGTTGCTTTGATCCGAAAGTAAGTAACTGAAGCACTTGTGTTATGGAAACAATAATGACACCTTATTGTGTATTCGGTATATAATCAATATGTACCTACTCGTATTAAAGTTCATGTATCATGAAATTTAGTATGTCATTATCTGACCCGAGACAATATAGAAAAGTTTGTTTTTCTTCCAATATTGATCCGGCCGGGAATCGAACCTGGGACCTCAGAGTTGGCAACACCATGAAAACCGGTCTGAAAACCACTCGACCACGGAGGGCGCCAAGTTATACGGGAATACACCGCTACGTAGTACCCTCCCTTTTGGCATTGCTGTAGACAAAGTCAAAGTCAAAGATTATTTATTCCATAGGTAAAATAA